TCGAGTTGCAACCAGAGTCACGGAACGGATTACGTTTGTAACTAGAGGTACCACTGTACTATGTATATATCTCCTGGTTGATGGGATACCAGCAGCAGAACACTGGCTTCCAGGATAGTTTCTAGATTAGAGATCCTAAATTGCATAGGATAGTGTAAACAAGCTTGAGGCAAAACTTGGCTTCGGTTATGGCATAATGGCCAAATGCATCAATACTGACCAATACCATCCTTACTGTTAGCCAGAAATTCTGCATGTGGCATAGACATAACTAAGGCTGTTAATCTAATTTACTCTTTCTGTATCCTTCTAAAATACTTTTGTGAATACCCTGATAGATGAAGGCCATGGTGAGCAGCAGAAAGTATTTATGGGCCCATCTGGTAATGACCATGATATATAGAAGATTTTGACTTAGAATGTAAGAAGAGTAAATGATAAAGAGCCTAAATTAACAGATGACATGAAAGAGGGAAACATACATGAACAGATGAGTGGAAATTATACAAGAGAATACAGAAAAAGTGACTGAGCCATTTAGGGACCCAGAAACGAATGAGAATGGTAATATTTGGTGGGGATCTGCTTAGAAATATTTCAGAAATGTGATTTAAGCACATGGCTATTCATATGTATCCATTAATATAAATCGTGATTCATTTGATTCTTTATGATGAAAGCCTAAGCGTTTGTTAAGGATACAAGGGTGATCAGAGATTCTAAATGTGGGATAGACCATTTTGGATAGCGCCAAGGGCGGATCTTTTGAAAAAAATGGACATGGAAGTAATGGGAAAAGAGGAATAAAGGAGAAGGAAAGTAGAATAATTGCAGGAAGTAGGAGTCCTGTATTATAAGATAAAGTAATTTCTCCACAGAATGAATGGGAAGAAAAAAGGATGTGAAGTTGCTTGGAACGGAGTGAAAATAATTGTGTTACAGAGTACCACAGAAGTATATAAGAAATTACACTAACAGGAAGTGTGAAAAAGGATTGTGTATGAAGTGGTAAAGGCTGTGGATGAGAAAAATGCATATAAGAGTATACAAAAATTGATGAAAACAGGATACTGTCTAATGTGTATAGAAAGAAAATGATAGTTCCAAAGACTGTAGGTTAAGAGTGCAATGAATGTTTAAGATTAAAAGAGTCAGAGAAGCACAGAGTAATTTTAATGAAAAAAAAGTTGCTTTGGAAGTAGGTGAAGAGAGCTAAACAGTGACTTTCTCACAGAATGAATTGAATTACTGTATAAATAAATGTGATGAAATGTTTTGAGATGAAACTGAAGTGGTAAAATGCTGGAAGTCTTATTTTAGAGATTGGTATGGGAATGATAGGGATACAGCAAAGAGTAGAACTGAAATTAATGCTATAAATTGTAGTAGGCCAAGGAAAATGGTGAATAGGAAGTCATACATGCTGTGAGAATGTTGAAAAATATAAGGTTACAAGTGTAACTGGAGAAATATTAAAATATGAATCCAGCTTGCTTGTGGAATAGCCGTAAGACTAAACATGTGTGAAGACTGCATTTTTGCCTGCATTGCCTGACCCTTTCCTGTTGCCAGTGTGATTGCATTGCTCTTGGTGTGTAGAAGAGCAAACAGTTTACTCTTGTAATCTCTTTCTCTCCAATCTCTCCTCTCTGCAAAGGGGGTGGGGAGAAAAAAAGCAAGTGATTTCCATAGGCAATCTCTCTTTTGCCTGACCCTCCGCCCCCAGAGTGGAGAGATTGGAGAGGAAGAGATTTCAAGAGAGTAAACTGTTTGTTCTTCTACACATCAAAAGCAGTGCCATCGTGCTGGCAGTGAGGAAGGGTCAGGCAAAGGAGAGATTGCCTACAGAAATTGTTTGCTTTTTCCTCCCCTCCCCCCCATCGCAGAGTGGACAGATTGGAGAGAAAGGGATTTCAAGAGAGTAAGCTCTTTGTGTAGGGCACTTATGGCTCCCAGGCTGTGCTGTGATCACATTGGATTTGATGTGTACAAGACAGTAAGCAGGCACTCAAGCATTCCAAAGGGCTGGGGAGTGGTTAGGAGGCAAACAAGCCGAAGGTGTGAAACTGAATAGTCTTGTTTCTTTCCAGCAAGAAAGCACAGTTGCAGCCATGTGATTTCCCACTTAATGACTGCTTCACTTAGTGGTGGAGTTGCCAGTCCCAATTAGGGTCGTTAAGTGAGGACTACCTGTATATGAAGGAAAAGTGAAAAGGAGAGGAAGGGGAAGACTGGGAAGGTTGTGATTGGATGGAGTTGATGAGATGCTGAACAAGAGAGGTCAGAAATTTAAAGAACAAATAGCGATATATAAAGCTATGTATGGGCATGATGGAAACAAAGATGGTTTGCTAGGATAGAAAGGTATGGGAAGGTATAGTAAATGGTGTTGCTGGAGTTTAGTTTTGGCTATGTTTCCTTTTCTTCTTCTTATCTCATGCCTTTGATTTCTGTGATTATTAGCTCTTAATTCTTTTTCTGTGCTCTACAAAACATTGCTTAGCCAAAACAGAATAACATGATGGGTATGTATGCATGTATGTAACACTAGGAAGAGGATATATCTTCGGTGGATAGCTAAGTGCGTTCAGTTTGAGGCACTATGAATGAATACAATTAGTGGACTTTTGTAAGGGACAGCATGAGAACTACTAAATAGAAACTAAGTCCAAAGAAGAAAAAGGTACTTAGCTTGGATTTGATGGCTTTCAGTGAATTCTTTCCCTTATATCATTAAAGACCAAATTTACATTTTAGGATTGCTGTTAGATTTGATCCTGCTTTGGATATCTAAGTGGAATCTGTGGTACATGCATATTTGTGCACAGGGACATCCTTGAAGACTATATGGGGACTTTTCAGTGCCAACTTGAATACATCATATACATGTGCGCACACATGTACAACATACATGTACATGTGTGCACGCACACACACATATCTTAACTGGCTTCCAGTTTGTTTCTAAGTAGAATTAAACTTTTGATTTTAACCATGAAACTCTACTTCATAGAGAAAATGGAAATACAGTATTTTCAATGGTTATAGTGTGGTCATAGAATATTCATTCCAGAGTCCCTTTATTGGTATCTAGTCTATTAGATTTAGGAATAGGCAAACAGTTCAGTTACTCCTAGGTAATGTACTTTACTTTTTTTTAAAAAAGTATTTTATGGTGATTGTTGATATTTAACTTGTTGTGTTGTCTTTATCTTGGAATAGCCTGAAGGACAGGATAAAAACGTAAAGTTGTATCATGTGTAGAAATGCATACATTTTATGGCTAAACATTCTTGATTTCTTTTTTCTCTATTTGCACAAAAGTGAAAGAATTAGAAGATAAGCTACTTGTAAGTGAGACCCAGCAAAAAGATTCCATACAGAAAATAGAAACTCTAGAAACTGACCTGAAAAATGCCACTGGGGAGTTAAAAACTACTTTGAGACAACTACAAGACCTTCGGGATACATTACAGAATGCACAGATATCTCTAGAGGAAAAGTATACTACTATCCATGATTTAACAGATGAATTAAGGTGTGTTAATGTGCATTACAAACTGGATCAGTGTAACAAACTAGTAGTTTCAGCAGGTGGCAGCACCTATTCAAGCTTGTCTGGGCTTAAAAGCTTAGCATGGCTGGATCTTGTTGGCATTTGGATGGGAGATCTCAAGAGAATTCCAGGGCTATATGCTGAGATGCACAACAAACATCCAGGAAGAAGGCAGTGGCAAACCATTTTTGTATTTCTGCCAAAAAAATCTGCATGGATACTTTACCGCAGCTGCCAGAATTTGATCTCAAATCAAGGGAGTTTTTACCTTTCACCATTACAAATTAATAAATTAAAATTCTTACCTTTTCAAAATGTATTGCTGGCATTTTGTTAATTGAAATTTACCTGAATTTACTTTTATTTATTAACAATGAAATGTGAATGCAGTTAATTGTGTTTTAAATTACTTTGTTGCCCTAAAATCACTGCATCGCTAAATTTTAAAGCAAAATAGCTTAGCTGTCCTCCAAGCTATTTCCAAATATAGAGAAATGCAAAGCTAGATGTTACATTAGGCCAACACAAATACAGTTGTATCTTCCCTCTCATGAAAGGCAATAATATAAAAACTAAAAATAGGATACAGTATCTCAGCTAATCATGTTTTGGTTTATTTCAGCGCAAGGAGAGCAACAAACAAAAGCCTGTGAGATGTGTAACTTTGTTGTTGTTTAGTCGTTAAGTTGTGTCCGACTCTTCATGACCCCATGAACCATATTGCG